TAGCTTAAGAACCGCAAATCGTATAATCATAAATTATAGGTCAAAATAAAGCTTATAATAAGAGGAATATAAATATACATAATCTAATTGTTGAATAGTTATACAATAAGAATATTTATAGAATATTAGTCCATTAATAGTCCTTGAAAGTTACCCGTAATTTAATCTTTGTTCGGATATAACACTTAGTTTAATGTAGATATTGTTCTTAGATAGTACATTTGTTATGTCATAATAATGTCAGAAACTTGATTACATATAAACAGATTAACAAAAGTATGCGTTATGGTCATCAAGGTATTTAACCTCTTTGAATAATGATAGATCAAATGTATAACTAAATACTACGATGACAATATCAATACCTATTTTTAAGAAATAAATAGTTTCTTCGGCAGCTTAACCTAAATTCATATAGTGTATTTTATTAATATTTGTTTTCCTTTCTTTGTCATTATGCATACGATTAAAAAGAGTATAAATGAAATTCATCCATTTATTGTATAGAGATAACATTTTACCTATACTATCGATTTTCTTTCAAAAAAGTAGGTATACCTGAAAGTAAGAATTGGAAATTCACTTTGACTTAATCCTAAGGTCAGATTATAAAATTTTCTATTTTATTTCTCTCTTCCTGTTAGTAGAACAATCTGAATAGAAATATAGAAACTCATCTCATCAAAACAATCTAGAGCAAATGTTAAGCGTATCGTATTGTTTTGTTTACTTACATCTTTTATTATTTGCTTTTTATTATTAGTTTTTTGACGATTGATTATAAATGTTGATTAAGTAGGTCGATATGCTTGTTACAAGAACATTCATATAGATTGATTAGGGTTATTATTATTATTAATGTCCTATCCTTACTTAAACACAAAAGAAAGGATTAAAAATCTACCAGTACTTAGTTTATGATCTAATCCTGTCATTAAATAAATAAAATTTCATCCAAAATCTTTGTTGACCAATTACAATGCAGTAAAACAAGGTCAATATAATCCACTGTGAGTTGATGGGTTTATGAAACAACCGGTGATTATTGTTTTGTCATATTTCATTGAAGTTTATAAATACGAGGTTTATAAACACTGATTTTACACATAGAATCACTAAAAATCAAGAAACAGTAGGCTGCCATTTGTCCTTGATTTGATTATTCAAAAGAGTATGATTATAACCTCATTAGGAATTGTCTTAACATTATGAATGAATAATAATGATCCTAGACTACCTGTTTTGTAAATAAAAATCCACATAACAATCGTTTTCAAAACTGATGATCTTGATAAATTTCTTTAATCATTCTGGACTCGCTTCAAGATGAATTCATCAAGATCATGCTAAGAATGATCTATGAAGCTAGAGTACTCTAGGAATAAAATATATTGTACAAGGTGCTGAATAATGTTTATGTGTTTATCTAAAATTGTTTAATTCATTTAAGTGTGTAATTTACAAAAGTTATTTTTAAAAAAAATGGGAATTGACTAATAAGTTAACTCTCTAACCGTTGGATATCTGCTTTTTTTTCACCACCACTACAACATATAAATGCGTTTGAAACATTCAATTCATACTAATAAATTATATTTTTTATGTTTACATTATTGTTGACTTTGTCTTGTTTGATTATTTGAAGTTGTTTTTTTCACATGTATTACAGTGTATCAGCTAAACTTAATCGATTAAAACAAAAAAAACCCGTCAGATTAAATGTTATTTTTATCAATTAATTTTACTGGTGGGAGATTCTAATCATGTGATGTTTTCGTTAAGGGCACTAAAAGATCTTATTCCAGATGAAATGATTCAGCTTATACAATATATGACTGAAAATTCTTTAGTTCACATATTGTTATTGCATTTATGACGCCTAAATTAGATGCTTCCAATAAACGATAGTTTTGCATAAATTGAGATACTTTGATTTGATAAACAAACAATGTCTACTACTATAATTAGAATTATCAGGGGTGGATTTCGGGAAACAGTTAACAATATTTTTACACTAAATGTTCATTGATTGCCTAAATCCTGAGGAATTGAATAGTAAATAAATAAAACATGACTAAGTGACAAACATTAGAGATGTTACCTCAGCTAGCTTATATACTTTAGGCTTTTTCTACAAAATTACGTAGTGGCGATAATGAGATTTGCCAACTCCAGTTATATATTTTAATTTAATGAATAATCATCGCCTTATTCTGTACTGAATGTCTGATTGTAGCAAAATATTCTAATCATAAAATATAGAATGGTGTAATAAATCTTGTTTATTTATTCACCTGACTGGTGAATATTCATCACAATATATATTTAAAAATATGTCTCGATGGCGATTAACTAGACTTTGTCTTGATCAAATCACTCTGTTGACTAGTTTTATTCGTAAAACATGTCATTTTCATAGCACATGCTGTGAGATGCATAGGTTCCAATATGATCAATTCACATTTCTTCTATGTGTAAATGTAGATGAATATGTTCTAACCACCGTAGTGGTTCAGCTCAATGTGTTCATAAACTATCTTTGCAATAGGTTGTAAGCTTATCATAAAAAGGGCTTTATTATATGCGGTTCACATACCTAACTAGTCAGTGAAAACGAATAATAGGAAGATGTTTCCAAATATTTGTACAGTAAAATCTAGGCAACTCAAAAGTGTAAGTACATTATCGATGTGAGGATAACTGCATATGTAGAACAGTAAGGTTGGTTCTACGCTTTACATTACCTGTCATTAAGTGAACTCATGAATTCGAACCAACCTAATAGAAAACTTTTGAAACTAGTCAGTAGATTATAAGGATTATAAGGTTATTTGTTATCAAATATACTTCACATAACTCGGATCTAAAATCATTTCTATCCATTTGATCTAAAATGTTATAGTTTATAACTGCTATTATAATTATCATAATTTCAATCAGAATAATTCATTTTACTCATTTACTAAGTTTATCTAATGAACTTTCGATAAGAATGCTTAATTATATCTTCTTTGATGTATGAATTGTTTTCTTTTTGGTTGAAGTCCTAGCTATACATCTTCATCTATGTTTAACAACTGTCTCTAATTCATTTGAAATTTTCTTTTTGTTTTTTTTTTGTAATTGAATGTTTCGGCTTTTACAACATCAAAGAAAAAATCTAATTCAAGATTTTAAAATGGTAATCATGTTTCTTATAATGTAATATAATGTACAAATTTGTTTTATTTCTATGTATAGTTAATGAGAAAACAGTGATGAGTGATAATTATTGAAACAGATTTTATCAAAGAAATTCGGACAATGTTTTCTAAGAAATTTTTTTTTTGAAAACATTTTCTCTCATATATGTGAGAAATCAATTTTCCGAAAGTACATAGATAAATAATTACATTCATTTAGTGTTGTTTGCTTGTATCTATTCATTGTTGTTAGGGGCTGAAATTGATCAGTCTCTTATTGGTTTAGATACATACTGTGTAGATTGCCTCGATGTTGCCTTAAGTCACAAGCGTTTTTAAGCAAAGATGGATGCACATATCCCAATAAGAGACTGATCAGTTGCAGTTTTTAAAAAAACAATGGGAAGATAAAAACAAACAACACCAAGTGAATTTAAACTTCACCTCATTGCACAAACAGATGGCTATCAGTACTTAATAGCTAAGTGGATAACTTGATGGCGTTTGAAGCGAACGGTACTAGGTTCAAATCTCAGAGTGAACATCAACTCTGAGATGCAGGTACATCCATCTGACGAGTCCCAAATAGAATGAAACGCGCGTCCTGGCTTCTACTGCTAGCCATTATCCATCTTTGTTTATAAATAACCACGTTTTATTTGTGTGTTGATTGATATTTTAACTGAATGGTTTACCTAAGTGTTGAAATTTATTCAATACTTCAATGTTTTATAAAATTACATTCTATGTGAATTGAAGTTTACTGTCAGAAAATAGTTTAATAACAACTGTTAAGTTTTTTGTTGATATTCTACATTTTACTTACTCCTTACTGAATTGGACATAACACTAATTTCATTTTTAAAATGTCTTTATGATGAAAGTAGAATTCATGTCCTTATTGTTGACTTATATTACTGTTATAAGAGACTTGATAACTATGCTTGTATCCTTAGCTTCAAAGCCCATTCGTTTACTTAAACGGAATTAAATGATGAAGAGTTTCTACCTTTAACAAAGTCACTGAAAACAGATTACTTATTATCTCTACTACTGCTACATTTTTACTGTGAGAAACATTCTTTTCTTGAAGAATCTATTTAAGTATAGTGGCAACAAATAGAACAATTAGGTTGTAAGCAAAAGTTTATAAGCCAATTGTACAGTTAGAAATAAACAGTTAATTTGATTCAAGTGACTTATATTTTTTGAAAGTTTAAAATAGCTACCTTTTTGTATGTGAATAGTCTATCAATGCAAATTTCTGCAACCCATAAGTGGAGATTTTGGAAGACATTATTCTTTCTACGAGTTCTTCTGTAGAATCAAAGATACCACAAATATTTTAACTCCCTTACCATGAGTCCCTTAATATTACTTGAATTACATCGATCAAATTACAATTTAGTTAATGATCTGAGTAATGCAACATCTCGGACACTATGTTATAGTGTTGGGCCGTTGAAGATAGCTACCAGGAGACCATGAACTCTAGTTCTCTGACAGATAGCGCTATTCAACACAAAGTACCTGGAATCTTCAAGGAATTGATCCTCGCTGATGTGCTCAAATCCAGATCATTCAGCTTACATTGTGAGACGTTACTAATGAGTCAAAATGGGTCGAAATGGTAACGTCTTAACATCAATTCCTTTAAGAATACAAACACCCCCTGTTGATGCATGCCGACTAATTCAAAACATAGGTCTAGGCAATCCTGATTACTATCTTTAACCACCTAACAAGTAATAATATATTTTAAAATTTTCCTAATCTTCCGTGTTTTATACACTATATTAATTTTTCTCCATTTCATAGAAACAGACTATGAGGAACCAGAAAGTCATATTGTTCGACATAAACCTGTTGGTATTAAAACATTGTTAAGGAAAACAAGATTCTCAAGAAAAGAATTACAAATTATGTATCAAGGATTTAAACAAGTAAAATTCTTTTTTACATTGATTACTAATTATCTGAGATCTCACAAATTTTTTTACTTTTCAAACTATTATGTTAATTAAATTTGAAACCATAAGTTCTGGTGAAAAGCCATGGCCAGTGAAGTTCAACTAGATCTGTTCTGAGATAGTAACTCACTGATGACAATGGTGGACGGTGGCGTATATTTTTGGATGGGTTGAAGTTAGACATTAACACCGTTGGATACCGGCTCAGTGGTCTAGAGGTTAAGCATTCGCGTGCGAGACTGATAGGTTCTGGGTTCGAATCCCACGTGTCGGGATCGTGGGTCCGCTCTGCTTAAGAGTCTCACAATGGGACGAAACGGTCATTCAGGGCTTCCAGTTTTTCCATGGTGGTCTAGCTTCAATTGACTCTTGAATTCAATTATTAAATTAAAACATGTATTCACTTTCATATGTTACAAAGAAAAAGAATCAACTGATAAACATGAATTATGCATTAGATGATGAGATTTACTTTATATTTATTTCTGTAAAGAATTACAATTTCAATTAGGGAAAATAATCATGATGCAACTAATGGTAATGTTCTTTGAATAAATTAATAAGTAGAAAATTTTATTATTAATTGTCTACTTATTGGTTAATTTATCTCAAATTAGTAAGTTAAACCTTAGCATTGATACTTACAAACTCATCATAATAATGAAGGCAGGTAAAATTCAATTCATGTTAATGATGTCATATGAGCTTGACAGAAATCTACTTTAACATATTTTATATAGAGGTTTAGCTATAAAAGTACTAAACAAACCTCATAATCAACAATAATTTTTCTTACTAAATTAAATATGAAATCACTGTCAAAGAATTATTAGTGGTCAAAATACTCTTTATTCAAGGAGTGAAACACTTCATTCAGTCTCAACTAAAAATACTGTTATATTTAATAATAGAAGCATTAAGAGCTTCACATCAAAGTATTCACAATATTTCATTTAGTCTCCTTGAATAATATTCAAATTAGGAAAGAATAATCGAGAAACAATCAATTTTCCATAAATAAAAACGATTAACAAAATTGGTAGAACTTAGTACCAATCAGTGTTCATTGATGATAATGTTAAATGAACAACTTTCTATCTCTTATATACAATCTACATAATTTCATTCTAGAACTCAACTAACTCAATTACTGAGAAAGTTGAAAACTAATATCGTTTCATGTCAAAAAAGATAAGCCGTTTGACGGCAGTATATATATAAATGGATTCATAAAAATCAACTTGAGCATGAAAAAATAAACGTTTCCACTGATAAATTTGTTAATCTCTTGACTTTTAATAAGTCAGCTTTTTTGTAATCCTTGTTTTATTTCTAAATATAACTAATATAAACTGTTATAACTTGTGAACTATATGCCCTGTTAATGTATAACGTAACGATACCGCCAATTAGAGAGCAGTGACTTATCGACCGGATCAATGACGCGTAAATCCGTAAGAGCAGTCTAGAGTCCTTATTAGCTATGCTTCGTGCCTAGCCCAGCCAGTTTAGTCCAGAACATAGATCTCAACCTCTACAAATGAATCATTTATTTCAAACATACTGAGTTTATATACCAACCAAACAGACCACATCGTACCACAAAATATGAAACAACATTTGTACAAGCATTAGCCAAATGTGGCTATGAATGAGGGAGGTAGTAAATAATAGACAGGGCATAATTCAAGAATCGTAGATCGTATAGTAATAGTTCATAGGTCAAAATAAAGCTCACAATAAGAGGGACATGAATATGAATAGTTTAGTTACATAACATTTATACGATAAAAATGTACTCATATTATTTGTCCATAAATAGACCCCAAAAATTACCATTCATTATTCTTATCGGGACATAACATAAACCGGTAAACATAACAATAAATGCAACTTTTAATTTTATGAAATAAAAAGAGTAGAATATAAGTGAATACGAAACCATATCAACTTACTTAGTTGATTGAATAAAACGTAAATATAATTAATAAAAAGTGAATTTCAATAGTTGAAATTATGAGTTAATTAAAGCTAGACCATCATGAAAAAAGTGAATTCTCTACTTTTTTATTCTTATGATAGGTTTACTGAGTAATTAAGGTGAATAATGATTGTCAGTGTTATAAATTCTGTTAGAAAAGGTTAATATGTAGAATGTGAACAGATTTCAAAAGCACGATATCCTAATATATTTCAAGAAGGATCTGTTATGTTTCATCATGACAACTACTTTTGAAGAACCACGAACAGTCGATAAAGAATTTTGCTAAATTTTATTCTAGCTAACAGTGTATTTTGAAAGTGTCAATAATTTGATAAGTTATGGACTCATCAGACAAATAGCGTAAACAAATATCTCTAGTTTAATTAATTTTTTTTGCCAGCTTTTTAAAAAAAAATAACCTATGGGAGTTGGTTTATTCACGTTTGAACTGAAATCTTTTCTGAAACTGCTGATCATTTCATATCGTTCACTTAAAATCACAACACTTGAGTCTACTCAATCTATTTAATGAACGTTTTCTGAACAGAGATCGCTTGATATACCATCTTATATATGGTGATCAAATGTATTTATTACTCTTATAGATTAGAAATAATCATTTACTTTTCATTTGAACGAAATAAAGCCATCAAAAAAGACCTAATTATGCTCAGTAAATATTTAAACTTACAACCCCTCAAGACATCTTTCGTTGACAGTTATGATCATTTCAAATGTACACAGTAATTTGTAATAGTTTTACAAGCTAACGAAAGATAGAAATAAATGAAAAAAAATCAATTCTCAAATTATCGGATTGACCGAAACATTAGGAGTGTAATTTCACAGTGTTTATCGAAACATGGAAGACAAGGTATCCATCGAAGGGATCTCTTCAGTGAATTTATTATTCAACTGCACATCTGTATATATGTGTATAAGCTTTCTACTCGAACACTATAGACGGGATTAACAACTCTATGTTCTGCTGGTCTTGATTTTTTTTATTTTCCCACTTTTATTTGACTTTTTCATGAATATATGTTAAAGACAACACTCTCATCATCTGAATTTTCAGGAACCAACCTCCCATTAGGAGATTCTCTTATTAAATTAAAATACGCAGATATTATAGCTCTATTTGGTGAAGACGCTAACAAAATATAGGGTCTTCTAACCTCTTTACTCAACAATTCAAGCATATCTAAGATACGTTTTTCCCTTCTAAATGCCAAATTTTGCTTCAAAACTGGTGTCCAACAGCTTCTGAATTATAGATGGTGAAGAATTTGAGTAGGTTCATCAGTTCACTTGTGTTGGAAGTATCATCAGCCTTATGGTTTGGTGTCTCATGAAATCTGTAAATGGATTCGGAAAGCTCGTTTAGCTTTTGTCAATCTATGTCACTTGTGGCATAGGTGAGATACCCATCTGCCAAATAAAAAACGACTCTACTGCTCGGCAGTTCGTCCATTCCATTTTTTGTCTGCGAAACATGGCTTTTAAAAGTAGCGAATATTCGTAGATCACTAGGATCCAATCATAGGTGTCTTTGACCATCAAGCTGTCAATTTTAAAGTTAAGGGCGGAGTACCAGGTAATTTTGGCAAATCTACTGACGCGGTAGTGAACCTCTGTCAACCGTGATAACTTGGACACTTATTACACTCGCCCATCCGCCGACCAACTCTACACGCTATGAAAGCTGATGTAGTAATAGGTTAGAATACAATTAATAATGGTACAACGAAGACATGAGACCAGTCCATAAAGACACTGAATGTTGAACTCAGTCATATAGGTAAGTGTAGACTACCTGTTCGAGGTTTACGTGATTATCGTAACAAATGGTTTGAGGCTTTAAGTGGCATAATTCTAAATCGATCATAATTGGAAAGGTGCATTCATCCTTAGTCTTCTCTTAGGTCTCACATTTTTGAATTCCCTATAAAATTTCTTATTTCACAAATTTATATTTTCTTGTCTCATTATATCTTCAATGCCTAATGTTTTCTATTACAACTAATACTGATAGTTCCTCTACAATGATAGGGTTTGCTTTGAGAATTTCATCTCATTGTATTAATGGAACGTAACAAACTGAACTAATGTATATATATACCAGGTTTTATGTTGAGTGTGAATGAATGATTGATTATTAAAAACCTAATTAGAATATTACCTATTTTAGTGAAATTTCTATTGATAAAGTTAATTATTAAGTGTGACGAAGTTTTCTATTATGTCAATCATTTGAAAAATAATAAAAATGACGGTAATGAGAGACTTTAAACGTATAAAGAAGATTGATAGAATTGTATTCATTATATCCTGTTTAGAGTCTTTCAAACAATTTGTTTATAAAGAAAATTAAAAATATTTTCAACATTTTAAGGGGATTTTTAAAATTAGTTATTTTCTTCTTCCCCTTTTTTTGGTATTTTTAGGAATGTCCAGCTGGTACACTTAATGAAGATTCATTTAAAGATATCTACTGTAAATTTTTCCCTCAAGGAGGTAAGTAATAGTTACATATTTTAAGAATAATGATATATAATTGTACAACGATTTGTTCATTGTTTTTTTCAAATGAACCTAATGGAATCTAACCCACTAATTTCAACAACAGGATGTGATTTTTTGATAGGCTATGGAGAAAAAAATAGTTGCCTTAATTGTAGCATCTTAAAACTGAGGTACACTGTCCGTACATTCATTTGAAAATGTTATGTAGATGACAATTTAATTTTCATGTATCTATTTTTTTGTTTCATTTTTTTTAATGAAATGAATTAAACTAGAATAATTCAAATAACTTATCGCGGAATAATTTAACTTGAACTTGTTAAACAATATGTAATATATTATGATCGAAACCCCAGTGTTAAAATATTGTGTCTAGTACTATGTCAAGCCCAAATATTTTATTCTAGCTTCCAGATAGATCGATTTAATCACTTTCCTTGACTTATATTTTGATCTTGCCAATTATATGCTTATTAACCTTGACTTTTTATATGAGTGTATGTGTGTATTGCTTACCCTATTCATCACTTACCTTCGGCTTATTTTTGTCTGGCTGTAAATATTGAGTAAAGCTTCATCAAACAGAGTTGGGATGTTTGCCTTTTCCGACCTGCTTCAACGCTTCGTTTTCTCACTCCTCATTCTTAATGTTTGTCTGAAAAAATAAGTGCCTAAAATGAATTCATCAAACGCAACCCCTTATTTAGCTTCTTATTATAGTCGTCAGATAAATAGGGTTAATCTAAGTAATTTATCAAGTTAGATGGAAGATTTATGTCCATATTTAATTCATTCATTCTTTGAAATTAGAATCAGACAAACAAGTCACCAAAAAAGTCTTAATTTTGACTGATAATCTAGACTTAATTCCTTCTAAATGAAAATGGATGCAAAATGTTACTGGGCTTAAGTATTCTGGAATAACAGACGAATAAATTTTAATTTTATATGATCTATAAAAGTATTCTAAGGTAATAAAATGTTGAAATCTATTTTAAATGTTAACGATTGACACTACTATTGTCTGTGAAAATACATAACTTGTTGATTTTTAGCTAATTGCTTTGGTCATTTATCATTTTATTGAACATCACTTTTATAACACACTTAAAAGTCATTCAGAATTATTAAGTTATGCTTTGTTGGATAGGATCGTAAGATGGTTGTTGGAGGTAGTCAACAGGAAATCCTGGACCTGGATTTCGTGTTACTTGGCACTCGTCAGCAAGGTGTACCTATAATCTTGAGGGAACTGGTGATTCTTGACGGATTCGATCCCGTGTCACCCAGCTTCGCAGTCAGAGACGGTACCACTGGGCTATCCGGGCCGCGACCGATCTCCTCCTAGTGCACACAATGTCGAGTCACCTAGACTGGTGGCCACATTGGAACTTGGTCGATAGCATTCGATCTGCACTAAGGACTTGACACACATGACATTGATCACCACCCAGTGGTCAATCAATTGTGAGGGTCGATTTGTAGTTAAGTTTATCAATTTGTGCTAGTTGATAAATGATGATATATATTAAGTAAAATCAAACAATATAATTAATTAGATAAACACTACATATTAATAAAACAGTTTCACTTCTATCGGTTATCAAATTTTCATGTTAAAGTCAAACTAATATTGACATTGAATCTTATTTATTACTTTACCTTGTCAAATTTATTACATAACAAAATGAAATGTGTTCAGATTGAATAAAAGTAATAAACAAAATCATTTTTAATTGATTAAATAATTATAAACTCAAATATTATGGTACAATTTTTAGTGTATAATGCATAAATCATCAGTTCAGTATTTATTCAATTGGACTAGATTAAACGATACTAATTTTTGTTGCAAATAAATTACTTCAGAATATAACTCTGATAAACTGACCCTTCAAATGTGTTGTAAAAATTCAATAATTTCCATTTGTAATTACAATTATATAAATTATTTAGACGATAAACTTATCAAGTAATTAAGCAAAGATGGATAGTGGCTAGTAGAGAAATCCAGGACGCGCGCTTCGTCCGAATGACGAGTCCCAAGTAGGACGAAACGCGTGTCCTGGATTCCTCTACTAGCCACTATCCATCTTTGCTCAAAAAGCTTGTGAATTAAGGCAATATCGAGGCAATTCGCACAGGATGCACATATGTCAACAAGAAACTGGTCAATTGTAGACCTAAATAACATTGGGAAGATACAAGTAAGACAAAACCAAGTGAATTTATCAAGTAATTGTTTTTATTGAAAAAGGTTTAGTGATTAAAAGATATTTGCTTTGCGGTAAAGTTGATATAAATAACCTCTGATTATTTATCACCTATTTGAATTACAGTCATTATGTCTTACATCTTAGTCTTAATTAAAGTAATTAATAAATGAATGTACTTTTTCTACATTAAAATATTTAACTTATGTGAATAGTCTACGGTGAACTTTTTATTCATTTGTTTTAATCACTTATAGCGTATTTGTGTATAAATTAATGACATTTAATTCACAGTTTTATTTCAGAAAATAATTTACTTTTAAAGTTTGGTAAATACTTATTCAGAGAATGGGGTTTGTAGAGATTGTAGTAATTTTAATGGTTGAATTCATGGGTCGATGTAAGCTAGATCACCATGAAAAACATGGGACCACTGGATGGCCATTTTGTACTAGTGTGGGACTTCTCAGCGTTCTCGTTGATCGAATTCTCGAGCACTGATCTCCTATCAAGTGATCCACTTATCTACTTAGATACGCAAATGACATAGTCCTGTTTGGTGAAGATGCTGATAAAATTCAGAGTCTTTCGGTAGCACCGAGCAACAATGCCGAGATGTCTGAGATGCGTTCCTCCTCCTTTAAATGCAAGTTGTTTCTTCAGGACTGGCCTGAGTTTATACCTGAACTAAGGATAGGAAATGAGGCAGCCAAACGCGTCGACAACGTCACTTATCTCAGAGGTCTGATCAACATTAATGGACTGATGCCCGACGAGATCTGTGCACGGGTTCGAAAAGCTCGTTTGACTTTTGCCAACGTACGTCATATATGGAGAAGGCGAGAAGACGAGTATACTGCTCAACATTTCGTTCTGTTCTACTTTATGGCTGCAAAACGTAGTCATTAAGAGTAGAAGATACTTGTAAGCTAGTGTTTAACCACAGATGCCTCAGAAATATTGCTTACATCTTATGAGATCACCGCGTAAGTAATAGTGAGGTTAGATGCAGGGTATTAGGGAATGATGGTAAATGAGTTGATGAGGCTGTGAATTTTCATCGACTGAGATGATTCGGCCATGTGTTACGTATGACTGAACACCGATTACCACGACGTGCAATCCTAACCGGTGTTGGAGATGGTTGGAGGAAAGTTAGGGGTGGCCAAACCAAAACGTGGCATCAGTCCTTGAAGTCACTAACTTCTGGTCCAAACCATGTTCGTAGACGCAGACTATTTGGTTGGGGTCTGCGTGACTATCGTAATCAATGGTTGGAGATTGAGTGACATGGCTCAGAATCGATCACAATGGTGTAGGTGTATACACTCTTTGTCTTCCTTTAAACTATGAGATTAAAATCGATTCATACCTTTCTTTCTACGAACTAATTCTTTCCTCCTGTACTATATCCTTATATACAATCTTTCTTTAATATAATACCATAATTGAATTAGCTACTGTTATGAATTCGGTATTTATCTTGTTGTGCTAATGAGGTATGGCAACTTGAACTGATGCATGTATGTGCCTGGTCCTGTGTTGTAGACGACTAACTGACTAACCCCATCAGTGCGCACCCACGACCACGTTCGTGGGATTCGAACCCAGGACTTTAGGTCTCGCATGCAAACGATTAACCTCTAGTCTATTGAGCTGGTTGGTATCTAATGGTGTTAATGTGTAACTTCTATCAATCTATGAATGGCTGGGCAACCAGTGCTTCCAGGCTTTTCATGATAGTCTAGCTTAAGTCAACACATGAATTCAACTATTAAAATACTTATTCAACAAAAAGCCCTTTGAATAGAGACATACTCACTCACAAATGTGTATTCGAATGCTATGCCAACAAAAGTTTTCTCTTTTTTTGTAACTATTCATCAAGTGACTTTTTATAAGTACTTAGTTTATAAAGACAAAACTTAGTGGGATTGTAATGTGCAATATTTTATTGTTTAACTGAAAATACACCACTAGTCCACTGAAACTATCGAATTAATTCAACATTACAAGTTACTGATATAATACGTTAATAAAATAAATTTGCTTTAAAAAAAATTCTATGAATGAATCGATCTCCATTTTTATTTTTGGAAAGAAAAAAAAATGCAAAGAAACAAATTTGAAAAAAACAAAACAACAACTTCAATGTACTTCCACTTGTCTTTCAATAAATATGCTTGTGTATATGCTTTGCATTAGATACATTTAAACTCAATTGGAAATGGACAAATTTGATTTATACTTGTATATAATGGATATACTGATTACTCGTGTCCAGAACATATTTTTTTTGAAAAAATTTCCGAATGTATTGTACTAAGATAGACTGTGAGAATAGTATATAATCAACTAGTATTTCGCATTGATATAAGTAGAATGTACTATGAATTATATAAATGTAATATAATTTTATATCATTATTTGGTTATATTTACTTTTATGGATGAAACCTTTCATTTGTTAAGAATTATTAATGAATATAGGTGTTTATATGAGAACCAATGACGATGTAGATGGTTATACCTTATAAATTTTCAGTAAAATTCTAAAAGGTCAGTATTAGTTCAGCTAATGCATTGTACTGATTTGACGTTATGCTAGTAGTTATAAAAAGCTTGTATAGGATTTGAATACAACCATTACTGATCTATTCTTGTAAAACCTAATTACCGCGGATTGAAAATGTTTAAGAATACTTCCATCACATTTCTTGCTCCTGGTATTAAACATTGTAATCATTGTTGAGTCTTGTTCTCTTATGTTTATACATTT